ATGAATTCATAAAGAAAAAACTCAGTATTCAGTGTAGATGCTGCCAAAGTCCTTATTAATTTGATTGTGGGGAAATTAGAGAACGCATGTGCAAAACAAAGGAAAATGTGTTCTATACTATACATCTTGGTTTGGGAATATGTCTATAAAATAAATATGTGTGTACGTTGTTCTTAAATTTTGTAATTATTTTGAAGAAAAAATAATTAAATTCACATGCCCATTATTAAAAGACAAATTGTCTTCTAATTCTTTTTTTTAAATTTTATTTATTTATTGTGTGTGTGTGTGTGTGTGTGTGTGTGTGGCCAGCTCAGCTCACCAGGGGGCGGCCCTGGCTGGCATGTGGTGCTGGGGGATTGAACCGCGGTCCTTTTGCTTTGCTAAGTTTGTTCTAAGTAGGTGCTTTAGACCACTGAGCCATCTCACCAGCCCCTGTCTTCTAATTCTAAGCAAGTATATTAGAAAGCTAAAATATCTTATTGGTAAATATCACTTTTTGTGTTATGTTCTAGATATTTCTTTAAAATAGGTATTTATTTAATTGATAGATCTTCATCTGGTCTCCAATCTGCTTCTGGATTTTGAATTTTTTTCTTTCTTATGTATTAATGTTTAGGTTTAGATTTTGGTTATGTAGCTTTTACTGCTTTCATTGTGAAAATATGTGCTCTTGTATTTATCATTCTTTTGTTTTCAACACTGCTGTGGTCTGAAATTTCACACTTGTTGTTTGTTAAATCCTAAAATCCTATGAGTAGGTTTCAGATACTATTTATGATGCTTCATTTTGTTTTTTAATTCAATGAGACTTTTTGATGTGTTTATATATGACATGCATGACAATTTTTCTGTTCTCTAGGTCATCAATTGTATGAAAGTTATGAACATAATATATTTTTATTTTACATAAAACAAATAAAAATAAAATAACAAGAAATTAAAATTCAAAAAAGAATCAACCAACTTTTTAAAGTGACTGTGCTTTTCCTTTTGTCACTAACTTCCATCACTCAGGACAGCAGGCCACATGATGTGAGAATACTCCCACCGCATCTCTACCGAAGCCAGAACCTGAAAACATTGTAAGTGGTTATGAAATGCACACTTGGTTCAATGAGAAAGGAAGAGAAATCCTCTGATGTCACATGAACAAGGAGAAGAAAAAAAAACTGGGAGGTGAAAAACTGCTCTTGCCCTTAGGACAGTTTGCCCTCCTTAGACCAAGACTCAAAGGTGGAGAAGCATGCGCAGTTCAGGTTGCATGGAGCGAGAGCGGGCCTGAGAGCCTGTGTTTTGCCTTCCCCACTGAGGAACGGAACAGCACGATATATTATTATCTAGAAATCCAGAAAAGTGGGCCCAGCGCTGAGGTTTGCCCCCATGGCCTGCTTGTTCTCACCAAAACATTTTTCTTCTGCATGGAGAGGAGATGAAGGAAACATCTTTCACTCATGTACCAGTCCAGGGAATTTGACAAAGACTGCCCTCTGAAATAAGGCTTGGACCAGACAGTCCTTCTCCATGTAATGTAGATGTGAAGCACTGTGGTATGCAGGCAGAAAGGGAAATGAGGTGTCCAACTAAAATTAGATTTGAAGAATTTCTAATGCCAAAATGATGCTTAGTAAATATTTGTTGAAATGAAATGGGTAGGTGAGGTAACCTTTCTCCAAAACTGCTGCTTTTACCTAAGGTCTGTAATGGTTGTTATTTTTTACTTTTTCTGTTTATCCTGTTTATTTGATCTAGTTCACTTTTTCTTTGTTGTTTTGAGACAGGAGTTTGCTATGCTGTTCAGGCTGATCTTAAACTCATGGTCTTCCTCATGTCTAGCCTCCCTATTGCTGGGAATATATGTCTGCTTGACCAAGCCCAATCCAGTCATGCCTGTTTTAAAGAGACTATTCTTAAGTAGTTATCCAACAACATACAAAAAAGATGTGCTCATTTAAATAATGACATGCCTTGCCAAGTGTGTTATAAACCCCAGTGTTTTCGCTGCGTGGGCAGCAAATAAGCCAGGGTTGGAATCTACAAACAACTGTGAAGCCCAGAGCAGGAAAAAGCAGCAATGAGCAAACTGCTGGGCCTGACAGCAGCACCCCCTGCAGGTTCAGTAGCCACAGTTTTGAGATTGAATTTAACTGGAAGCAGAAACACATTTATGAAAAAGACAATTGAATTATCAAAAGCAAAAGTTGAGTGAGAAAACAAGAAACACGACAAGGGCACAAAATGTGTCTTAGTGTCTTCAAGCAGAAAGTGCAGGGTAGTCTAGGACATTGATGTAAAGGGTTAATAGAGTTTTGTGCTGTAATTGTGAAAAATTATAAAAACCCCTTGTGCTTCCTGTTATCTGCTCTAAAAATTGTGTTCTCCCTTTCAGCTCAAGGCTGTTCAACAATAAATAACTGTTTCTTGTCAAGGCAGCAAGCTAACACAAACTCCCTCCCCAACCATCTTCTGTAACATAGTCAGCTTAAGATGTACCTTATAAAAATATACACTTATCACTAAGCTGTAAAAGACCTTTTAGTTATAAACAGTTTGCAACTGTGTCAAATAAATACAGTTTCTGTTGTTCTGTACTAGATAACAAGTTTGCTTACCAAACTGGATGTGATTTCTGTTATAAATACCCCCCGCTCCCTACTTTTGGGGCCGATCAGCCTTCTCCTGCTAGAGAAGCGGCTGACAGACCTGAGCTCAGTAAATAAAAGGCTCTATTCAAATTTCTATCTGGCTTATCTGGTTCCTTTGCACAGTTGACCCATAAAAGTTGAAACCAAACTAAATGAGAATCTAGAGGACTGGCTCATACCACAAAACCTGGCCTACCTTCTGGCGTTTTGTAAAAAAACATTTTTTGAAAAATATCTACATGCATTAACTTAGCTACTGTCTACAGTTTCTTTTAAACAAAGCAAAAGAAGTGATAACAGAAATCATCTGACCCAGAAACCTGAAGAGATTTATTGTGTGTCCCATAGCAAAAAGCGAGCACCAATTCCTGCCTTAAATGACTAAAAAGTTGGGCTTCAGGTCCTGGGAGGGTGACTATGCCCTTGCAGAACCAACGCAGCTGATGCTTGACCCTGTCTGCGAGTCTTCCTACAGGGTGAGATGAAGAACAAGAGGCGACTGGGTGCAGATTCTGGGCACTAGAGACACTCAGGCCTGAGAAGACAGTGACGTGTTGGCCTCTAACTTGTTAGATCTGATTAGAAGTCAGCTGCTCGCTCTTTCTATGTCTGCAGGATGGGAGTTTCGAGAAAACTGAGATTTACGTATCTAGTTTGGAAAAGTTACTTATTTAGTAACATTAGTTTTCCTATCTGAACTCTATATTCAGGGAAGCTAGTAGTTTCACTAGAAGGACTTTTTGTTGTTGTTGTTGTTGTTAACCCATAATAAGCAGAGTATCCAAAGAACTTTATCTGGTTCCTATTAGAACTTTAGCTAGAGCTTCAGTAGAAGAAAGCATTGAGGGCCACCAAGACAGCTCAGGGGACTAAGTGCCAGCTCATGCAAGGGCAGGGACCAGAGCTCAATCCCAGGCATCACATGCTGTGCTGGCCCTGCCCATGGGTGTGCTGAGCTGACCACCGAGACTGGGAGTTGTGGCGCACACCTGTAATCCCAGCACTGGGGAGACTGAAAACAGGAGGATCACTATGACTCCCAGCTGCATAGTGAGACCCTATAGACCCTGTACCAAACACATAAAATAATAATAATAATAACAATTTTCTTAAAAGAATTGTACATAACATGAGAAAATTTCCCTTTAAAACTGTCTTTTCTGGGGGCTGGAGAGATGGTTCAGTAGAATAAGTGCTTGCCTGGCAAGCTCAAGGCTCTGAGTTCAATCCCTGGTTCGGCTAAAAGAAAAAATAAAAATAAAAATAAAATTGCCTTTTCTGGAAGTTCTCAGCTTGAGCAGAAAGAATTTGAATTATTTGAGAATCCTGCTTAACATTTTTGTATGATTGTCTATAGCAATGATTAATAAATACACTTTTCAAAACCAGAGATCCCTCTCTGCTGTGTGAGCTTTCACAGGTAACGCTGCACAACCCTGATCATGGTGGTGCGATGCTGTGTGTCAGCATCCTCAGCATTCCCCGAAAGGCCTGCTGACAATTCTGTTTCCATGTAGCAACTACATATGACTTAGGGCTCCTGAGACCACTGCAGAAGTCGGCACCTGTGCTGGGAATACAGCTGCATGACGAGGCTTTTTAAAGCTGACAGAGAATAGTGCCTACGGGTCCCTTACACCCCTCTTATCCCCAGTTCTCTGGAGAATTGGCTGATCTGCTGGTGGACTTGTCCTGAGATGCTTGGTTGGGCTTTTTTTTCTTCACATGTCTACTTAGAAAAACTGCCCTTTTGGACATTCCATTCTCAGATTCTCTGAATCTGAGTCTGTCAGAGAACAGAAAGTTACACAGCAGTGTAAAAAGGAAGAGGAAAAGAGAAAAGAAAGAAAGACAAAATGGCCAGCTAGATTGCTCAGTGGACTAAGTGCCTGCTTAGGCAAGCACAGGGACCAGGGTTTGATCTCCAGCACCACATGCTGCACTGGCCTCCGAGTCTGGGTGTGGTAGTGCACACTTGTAACTCCAGAGCTGGGGAGGCTGAAAACATGAGGATCATCAGGGGTCGGAGCTGTGTAGTGAGATCTTGTACCAAATACATAAATTAAAAAGAAAAAAGAAAATGGGTTCATGGACTTATCAGCTGGGCTGCATAACCTTATTACAGCTTTCAGTTTTGTAAATTAATTCATCTGCAAATAGTTCCCTGTGTCCAGATGCAGCTTCAGTGTCAGAGTGCTGGTTTTAAGGATTTGAAGTTTAAAGTCAAAGGCTTCCTGCTTTAGGAGTTACAAAAACTAAATGGTGTCCTTTCTGTTTTGGTCCAGGTCTGCTCACCCAATCACAGCCCAATATGCAAATAAGCTTTAGGGAGTGTGCAATAAAAAGGAACAAATAAAGCCAAGGGCTGTGTCAGAATCAAACTGCTGAGCCAGTCACTTGGGTTCCGGAGCTGAACCAGAAATGTCTTCAGCTAAAGTACCTCTCCCTGCCCCACTGGCTGATCTGAAGATCCAGTATACTAAGGTTAGTACAGCTTCTCTGTGCTGCAATACCCTGGGTTTCTGTGAGGTACCTCTGTTTGAAGCAGAAAAGACCACTTAAGTTGTGTAAAGAGGCCTTTGCAACTCCAAAATAAGGCCTTGTTTAAAATGCAGGTCTGGCAGAGGGTAGCGGTGCCCAATTGCAGTTCTAACCCTTGTAAGGTGGAGGAAGGGGATTGCTGAGAATTTGAGGGCAGCCTGGACTATAGTGAGCTCAAGGCCAGCCTGAATTAGAGAGTGAGGTCTTGTCTACAATAAATATCATACTTTTTAAAAGTTAAATTTAAAAATGCAGTCCTGGGTGTGGTTATCTAACATATAATAAATTCTCCTTCTATAAGACTGCATTTTGTTAATTGGTTTCTTAAGATATTTCTAAGTGAAAGGAATTCTTTTTTATGTGAAAGATTCTTGAATTTAATGGACTTTAGTAAATGCTGCCTTATATTTAAGAAGGCAATTAGTTGAGAGTCATGAACTCTTTGTGGAGAAGGAGATTCTGATGTCATTTCAAGGAGTAAAAAAGCTAGGATCTTTTTTAGGGTGAAGCTAGAGGCTTCCAGGTCCAGGAGGACTGCTGTCGTCACTGTTCCTGGCCAGGCTGGCACCTCCTGGGGACTGTGCCTGGTTTCCATCTCACATGTCCCACCAGCTATTGTGTAGGCCCACAGTCCTGGGTTAAGATTTCAAGGATGATTTTTTCTTAAAATATGTAAGTTGAAGTATTGCCCCGTGGGAAGATATAATGTAGGAGAGAGTAAAAGTGCTTCGTGGAGTTTCTGAAGCACTTGCTGAGAGTTGCTTCTCAAATTGAAACATAAGTATTAGATTGTTTTAAAATATTTGGTACAAGGTCTTGTTATGCAGTTCAGGCTCAGAGTGATCCTCCAGTTTTCAGCCTCCCCAGTGCTGGAATTGCAGGCGTGCTCCACCATTCCTGTCTTGGTAACTGGCTCAGCTTGTTCCGGGGGTGGGGCAGGTGCAACTTGTGGTGCTGGGGATTGAACCCTGGTCCCTGCACTTGCCTAAGCAGGCTCTTAGTCCTCTGAGCTATCTTGCCAGCCCCGAGTGTCAGATTTTTGAGATTTTTTAATTAACTGATAAAGTCCAAACTTGATCTCTACTGATAACAAAAGCCTATGATGCCATCTAATCCCCTATAATATTTTAAGGTTTTCACAAGGGGAAAGGAGATACTTAGTTCCATATTCTCTTTCCAACTTTTGAATTCCCTTGAAGATGGTCAGAGGAAGGGATTTTACAGAGGAGCTACAACGCTGTGTCTTAAATCATGATACTTTCCATTCCTTCAGGAGTAAAAGGGCTAATAGGTCTAAGTACCCGGGTTTCAGAGTTTCTCAGAGGGGGCACATTAGGAGATGTCACCCACACTTCTGACTCTAGGTAGAAGACTGGTTTAAACAAGTTAGGACTGTCGCTATAGCCTTGGAGATCTAGGTTACTGAGACTAACTGAGCAGCCTGAAGAGAGGGATCAAAATGAAATATTGGGACTGGAGATTTGGTTCTACTCTAAATTATTTGCCTAGCAAGCTGGAAGCCCTGGGTTTGGTCCTCAGCATCAAACACAAGAAATAAACCTTCCCTATAAGACAATTCAACCAACGAAAAAAAAAGCTGTAAAATCAAAAAAAGGCCAAAAATAAACAACTGCAAAAAGAAATATTATGAGTCAGAGTGGAGAAGACGCATAAAGCAAAAAAGAAAAAAAAAAAAGCACAAAATAGTGTCTTTTATATCTAAAAGTGTAAACCTGGCAGTATCTTCATGAATTTGGATACAAGGATGCATAGATTACCCAGCCTGGGATGTAAAGCCACCACCCTCTCATTTACTGGTGAAAACACTTGAAATAGTTTCCACTGTTTGTCAGGCCCAATTTCCTAAACAAGTGGATGGCATACTTTAAATTAAAAGAACAAGAGACTTGATCTTTTCAGTTCCAAGAACATCAAAACCTTCTCTCTCTCTCTCTCTATTTTTTTTTTCCAGGAACCAGGGATTGAACTCAGGCACTCATTTTACTGAACTATCTCCCTGAAACCTTTGAATAGTGCTGGGCAGAGAGCTCAGTGGTATAAACTGCTACCTGGAAAGACCCACTGGGCCACAAAAACAAAAGGAGACAAGTTCTTTTAATGAGATTAAGAGTCCTTGGAGCTTGAAACAAAGAACTTCTTTGGGGAAGCTGTTTTTATTTGATTCTCGAACAAAGAATGCTTACACTGAGCAGGACCTTGGGAGCCAGGTTAAAGATTTCTCCTGATGGCTCAGTAGAATAACCAGTTGCCTGGCAAGCTCAAGGGCCTGAATTCAATCCCCAGTTCCACAAAAAATAAATAAATGAAGAAATAAATAAATAATAAAAAATATTAAGATTCCTCCATGTAGGACATTTTGCCAAGTAAGAGAGCTGTCTTATCTCTAAGGTTGGCGGTTGATTGCTTTGGAACAGGGCTGCCAGCAGCTTGTGTCCTTGGCTGCTGCAGCTGTGGTCATATCAACTTCAGAGAGTCCTGCATAGCTCCTTCTCAACACAGCCAGAGGTCCCCTGTAATTCAGCTACTTAACCCTATACAGCAAGGTTTCCAAACAACACTCACTGGGTACTTAAATGCCCAAATGCCAAAGGGCTATTCCAAGGGTTAAAAAGACCTCCCACTTTTAAAGTGTTGATTACAGGCTGCAATTCCTTTCTTGCCTCCAGTCTCAGCAGAGTAGTTGCTTTTCTACCTCTTTTATATTTTTCTGATTAGTCCAGACTTTTGGATTAACTTCTGTCCCTACCAGGGGAAGGCAGGGGCCTAATCTTGGTGTGTATATAAATAGCTGTGTTTACAAGAGATATGATACCTATCCTAGCAGGGGGGAGAGCATTTTTGACATAATTAGTAAGGCATGAGGGAATTTAACAATTGTCCTGACTGAGCCCACCAAGTTGCTATGAAAAATATGTGGCTGTAGGATTTGGGTCCCACCTCTGATGGTCACATGGACTGAGGAAGGCAGGCTGGAGTTAGAGATGGTAACAGAGAATGAGGTTCCAGTGACAAGTAGGTGAATGGTGCTGCTTCTTAGAACTAGGAAAAACTGGGCTGGTGGACAGAGACAGCAACTGGATTCCCAGGAGCTGCTGATGGGTGTTCTGGGCCCCCTCAGCCTTGCTGCTGGGCCAGCTGGATGAGGAAAGAGTTTGACAAAGTTGACAGCTCAGCTTTGAGGTGATCCCACTACATGTGGGGCAGAGGTGGGCAGCTCCTTGCCCGGTTGCTGATGACCCTTAGCACGGTTTTTATGGCAATGTCCTGGCTTTCCACAGCTATAAGAAGCAGATGAATCACCTTCTGAACTCTGGGAAACTGCTTGGACCCCAGAGAATGGCCACTAAGGCAGCTACCTCTGACCTCTTTTCTCTTTTCTTTGGCCTGTTCTATTTGGAATAAGTTCCTTTTTTTTTTTTTTTTTTTTTTCGTAACTGTTTTTCCTTATACATATCTGGGGCAAAATTGGATTATCAATTTAACCCTGATGACTTGTCCCTCCACAGTGACTTTGAGAGTGAGCAGATCCACTGCTAATCACATTTCGGTGGCCCACAGAACGCCATTTTCTTGTGTGAGGCACACTTCTCCTCTAGATCTGGAGACCAGGGAAGGACAGGCACAATCTACCAAGCAAAAACAGAGATATAAATGTTACTTACCTCCTAAATGCAATCACAGTTAGCAAAAGCATATTGGAAAGAGGAGCAAAGAAAAAACACTCTGCAATTAAGATCTGATTCTTATCAGTCCTGGAGGGACCTTCCACTCTGAAGATCTGGAAACTCCGTAGAAGGAGCCAGAAACCGTGCTACCAGGCCCCATTTACAATCTCAAGGAGCTCAAGTATATTATTACTATACTATTATTATGCATATTAATATATATTATATATAGTATATAGTGTGTGTATATATATCATACATAGTATATATGGTATGTATAGCGTATAGTGTATATAGTATATTAGTGCACTACTATATACTAGTATATACACTATTAATATAGTACCGATATAATGTTATATTATATTATCGCACATATATTGTTAAGATTTCATTATTTTGCTAATCTCTTACCTTACCTAATATAAAGTTAGATGTTCTCATGTATAGAAAGAAAGTCTACATGGGATTGAGTACTACCGGTGTTCTCCGGCCTCCACTCGGTACTGCAACATTCCCAGGCAGATAAGCGCGTCTGTGAACTCACACCCGTCTGAGTTTCATGACACTACTAATTTTGAGTGTTTTATTGGGTGTGTGTATGTGTGTGTGTGGGTGTGTGTGTATGACAGTATCAGAAGTTCACACAAAGACTGAAGAGCTGTGAAGCGGTGCTAATATCTGACTGCTTGATGTTGTGTGTCTTCCTGATTTATTATAATATTGGAATTGCTACAATAATTTGTTACTTGAAAATTTGCACAAAAAGGTCACAGTTCTCAAAACTTTGCCTGAACAGATAGCTGTGCCACCCTAACTTACTTTATCCAACTATTTCCTCCGAACTTTCAATGTTTATTTATTTATGTATTGTGTTTTCGGACAGGGTCTACAGGGTTTCACTGCACAGATCAGACTCATAGTGGTCTTCTTGTTTGGAGCCCCCCAATTGCTGAAATTATAGGCACGTGCCACCACGCCCAGTCTTAATCCCTGTCTCAGCACACCCCGGGGGCGGGAAAACTTTCAATGTGTTTTAGAAGTTGGTGAAGCACAAATAAACTACTGAGTGATATTTTATATTTGGTATTATCTGTAGAAAAAAGGAATTACACACAGACAATTATAGCATTGGGTACTAATCCTGTTAAATATGCAATAGGTACTGCATTTTCGAGTCTTGCGCAACTTAATTCCTCAATACATGACATATACATTGGCTGGCAAGTACTCTTTACATCTGCAGGAAACAGCGACAGCCTGGCGCCTAGTAAATGTGATATCCTTTCTGTTTCCTGGCTAAACTGAAAAGGCTGAAGGGCATTTTAAACACAGACAGGAAAGTATGCACACATATTACCTTACAAAGACTATAAAATGAAACAGAAATGAAAAAGATAATTTTATTTCTCCTTTTTTGTTTTAGTCATTGTGTCATATTTTTTTACTTTTCTGACTCCGGTTGGACATTTTCCTTCCATGTGTTATTTCCTCTTTAATTTCCTTTTATGTTTTTCTTCTTTGAAAACCAGAAATGTCTTCTACTTAACATTCTGTTTTGCTGCTTTAGGGCTTGAGCTTAAAGTTGCTGCCAGAGAGCTAGCTTTGGCTCTTTTCCTTGCCACCTAACTATGTTCCAGGGTTTTGGCATTGTTTATTCATCCTCTTGTTCTCCTCCCTCTCCCACACACAGTCTTTGGTATTATCTGATGCTCCTGAGGTTCCTAAGGTTGAGAAAAGGTTACAACACACATTACTCAGCATGTGTTTACATGAATATTTATCACTCGTTTTCAGTCAGGATGGACTTTCAAAGTTGGAAATCCACACAGGCAAAGTTATATGGGGACACTGATTACCTACCCTCTGCTTTGCAGTATCTGAAAAGAAATCCTTAGTGCACTGTAAATGGGGCCTGTTGAAGCTCTCTGTCACCAGGGAAGCGCTGGTTTCCCTTGTAAGATCATAGAGCAGCCTGTCCACTGGGCCCTGCAGTAGTAATCAAGTGAGCTTGTGAACTGAGGAGACTGTTGGGGGAATCATGTTGCCAACAGACTCCCAAATCTCTCCTCAGCAAACAAGGGTAATAGGACTTTGTTTTGAACATTAGCAAAATAGGAACTTAATCTGAGAAATGTTTGGAGATTGCTATACAAAATTTCTGTAGCTTTATACTAAACATAATGATACATAAGAACTGTTACTCTGGAATGGCAAAGTTTTCCAAATGATGACCTGGACAGTAAACTGCATCTAGGAAAGAGGCCCTTCTTTTATCAAAAATATTCAGATACATCTCTTTAAGTGTAACATATCCAAAGTTAAAGAATAAAATCAATTTGTAGGTTATCTTGACATTGCCACTTTATCTTTTTTTTTTTTTTTTTGGAATTGGGGATTGAACTCAGGCCCTTGTGCTTGCTAGGGAAGCGCTTATTCCACTGAGCCATCTCCCTGGCCCCTCTACTTTTTCCTCACATAAAATAAAACCCTTGCATTCCAAGAGGAGGCATAGACATCCATTATTTGTAATCCATATTGTGAAGTTAAAGTTGATATCTTTCTACTACTGTACATCTATATTACTCAAAGCATTCTGAGTCCAAAGTTCATATTGAGAATATGCTTCACATAGAGTAGAGCCCAAGAATATTGTGCTTTCATAACATCATTCTTTTTCAATTTACCAAAATCAAGCAGGAAATAGGAAAGTAGACTATTGCCAGATCTATCATGTCACCAGACCATGCATGTATTTCATAGTTAAGTAAAAATACATTAGCCCAGACCACTCAATATAACATATATTTAATTTAATTACAAGGGATTATTAGTCAAATGCACATGGTCACATAGGAGGTTAAAAGTAAACACATAAAGCTAAGCAAACTTGGATATACAAAAGATAATTAAGCTAGTTCCTAAGTTCTCCACAGCTCAAGGGCAGAAAGTAATGCTGGAATACCTGGCCTTTGAAACCACTTCCCTAGTCATGTTACTTATACTGAGTTCTCTTATTCGTGAGAGGTTCGTGTGGGGGGAAATATAAGTGATTCATAATTCAAAGGCTGCTGCTACTTGCTGTGCTGAAGCTTTATGCTCTCATTCTTCGCTTATGAAAAGAGACTCACAGACGATTTCAATAGGGACTAATTCATGAGGTGGTTTCTGTACTTCAAAGAATTTTCTGTCCTTTAAAATTAGTATTTGAACTCTTCTACTGGATAAAAGTGCAGTGCAAGCTTCTTACTAGCGGAATCAAAATTCGTCCCAAGCCAAATTCATTTTCATAAACAGGCTAGGACTTTATCCAACAGGAGCTCTCATTTCTGGGCAGCCTCTCTACTGTGCTGCAAAAGTCCCAAGGTTGGTCCTTCTCCACATTGTTTTTCTTTTTTAACACTAATCTTATCTCATTCTGTCCTTCAGTCTAGGGATGCACCTTCGAGACACACAAGCTCAGGTTCCTGAGTTTGACTCGTGGTACCACAAAAGACACATAAATGTCCTTAAGAAATGCGTCCTTTCATCGCACTTCCTTTCCCTCCATGAGTCTCACTGTACCTTGTGTTGACACAAGCGCCGCTTTCACTCTTTGGTTCTAGTCTATGACTTTTCTGATGGTGATATAAACACATGGTCCTCTGAGATCAGCGGTGGCAAGCCTGTGGCAGGCTGGCTGTGTACATTTTAATACAAAAGATGTTAGTATATGAGTTGTCTTTCTAAACTAAAACTTCAGCATTCAATTAACTGCTGTGTTGGCACTTGGAGATAAATCCAGGGCTTCTGGGGTACAGGTGGAGCACTCATCTCCCACTGGTTTGCCATCACTCTCTTAGATCTTCACAAAAGAGTACTATTTAATTTAATTGTTAGTTATTTTTATTCATTTGGAGGTAAATAAACATCAAACTGGTTTATGAATGAAATGCAAATTATGAAGTGCAAAAGTTGAAATTGGGATGTTATATATGGCACATTGATAGTTTTTAATGCTTCTGATATAGTCCACATTGAATAAAATTTTAAACTTTCGGCATGCATATCATTGGTATCACTAAGAAATCTAGTACCTGACCTCGTCTGCAGACCAATAAATTAGAAGATGTTCTTTTGAAAAGTAGAAACCACCCTTTATTCCTTTGAAACAAATCAATGAAACACAGGTCACTATAAAAATGTTTCTAAGCAAATTTAATGCAAAATTACATCCCAAAATCAGTTTGTAACAGCAAAATAAAGGATCAAAAAATGGCCAGTCATGATATCCTATGGAAGTAGCCCAGAACAGTCATGTTCATAATTGGAAGAGGAATGCGAGAGCAATGGTTTACAAAGAACTAGCCCACCTGAGCTTCGGCTCTTACCTCAGATTTATGCTACTTCAGTCAAGAACAGCATTCTTAAATTGTTTTCTCCACTCTGTATTTTCAAGCAATGAAAGAGGGAGGACGTTCACAAAATGTAAAAAATACTTTATTTTAGTGTGCAAACATGTTTGTGTTCATGTATGTGTGTTTGCATGTAAAATGTCAGTTATAACAAAAAAATTAGGTAGCAAAAGGTTTAGGCATGTTGTGATGTTTCAGTTTTTTTTCATAGAAATTTCCAGAAGGTAATATTTGAATTCTTTTTAATGTACTTTATGTGTGTCCCTGCAGATCTTCATAAATAATGAATGGCATGATTCAGTGAGTGGCAAGAAGTTTCCTGTCATTAACCCTGCTACTGAGGAGGTCATCTGCCAGGTGGAAGAAGGGGACAAGGTGGGTTTATCAGCAGCAGTCCTGTGTCAATGCAGGGTTCCCCTGAGCCTCACTGTTCTTGAGCCCCTAGGTCCCATAGAAAAGCCAACAGAGGCCTTGAGAACAAGACTCCTGCGACAGTCTTGGGTCATGAGGGGCCCTCGGTCACCACGTAATGGGAATGACTGTTACAGTGAAGGTGTTGAATTGTTTATTTTCATATAGTTTTCCTTGTTTTGCACTTGAATTATGTGTAATAGATTTATTATACAAACAGTTTCTAGCAAAAAGGATTAACCACAGGGATGAAAGAGAAAAGAAGTCTTTTAAATAAATAGTTTTTTTTAACTCTCTAGTTGAAATTTGTGCAGTTAATATATGATTTGGGGGCAATCTAATCATTTTACATACTTCATTGCCAAGTTATTTTATTAAAAATATCTGAATTCATATTAAAGAATATCTT